TGCACGAATTCAGCTTCAGTTCCTTCTAGTTTCTTCTAGTCTCTTCTTTAGTTTGTTAGATTGTTAGTTTGTTAGTAATTGGTTAGCTAGCTTCCTCTATAAATAGAATACATTACAATGTAATTTCCTCAAGCAAGTATGAATTAAACTTCATCTTCTTCCCTGCTTCCAGCAGGTTTATATCCGGTTTCTGTCCTCAGTTTTTCCTTCATGCATTCTGTCATTTTTAGTTCCTTTATTTCCAGATTAAATCTCAGTTCCTCCCTTGATTTTATCATACTTCTTTTTTATCCTCGATTATTCGGGTGATATTCAGTAATGGAATGGTGATGCTTTTCTATCTTGTTAAAATTCGTTTTAATTAAAGTAGAATTGATAATCAATTTATGTGAGACGATACTTGACTCAATATTATATTACTTGTTTATGATTCGTCCTCTTAGCGAATAAGTTTATAATAAGTTTTTGGCGTCGTTACTGGATATTGATTCTTTTTATTATTAATACATTAGTTAGTTTTGACTTCGACAATTTGTATCTTTCTTATGCTGATTCCAGTTTCTTTTCATTTTCTGGTTTCCCAGTGAATGTGACGTTCCAACTACTTTTGATTCAAAAATTGAATGAACTTTCATACGAAGAGAATAAGAACATAGAGAAGCAAATGAACAACATAATAAGATGGTAGATGGAGGAAACCTAACAAGCACGGATACGTAATTCAAATACGATATGATATAGGCATGCTGATATGACTTTTTTTAAAAAAACTTAGGATAAGCGATACGTATTATATAATTCAACATAATTTCATTAATATAAAAAAAATTAGAATAGAAGCATAATGATAATAAGATAAAATACTAAAACATTTATCTTAATAATTAATTGTCTCAATTTCATTTTCGTCAACATCATCAATATTATCGGATTGTGGAGTTATTTTATTTCATCTCATAGAGTATATCAAAGAGTATACACTCCAATTTATTTCCATACAAGATGAAAAGAAACTTGCACAAGCAGTTTCAAAGATAAAGTTTGAAGCAAAGATGCATATGAACCATGAAGTAGCCACCAGGTCTATGAATCCATATTATACCGATTAGAGATAAAATCAAAATCAAATATAATATTCTTGTTCACTCATCCTAACATTTCTTGTTCTGAGCATGGACTCATTAATCAAACAACGACACTTTAGTCACCTCAATCAAATGATGTAGCTGAACGCAAATATCGAACTCAATATTGATAAGTTCGGGTCTACCTCAGAACTTGTGGGGGAAAGCTATACTATTGGTAAATAGCATTCTTAAATAGACACCCCTTAAGAAAATGGAAAAAAATTACATATGAACTATGGAAATGTCATCCTCCTTCTTACCAATACTTGAAAGTATGGGGGTGTTTAGCTAGGGTTGAAGTACCTAAGCCTAAATAAGTGAAAATTGGACCTAAGAAGATTGATTGCATATTTATTAGGTACATCAATAATAGTAATGCAAATCGTTTCCTTGTGCATAAATCTGAAATTCAAGATATATATGAAGGAATAATAATTGAGTCAAAAAATGCATTATTTTTTGAAGATATTTTTCCATGTAAGAACAAGGAAAATACAAATTCAAATAAAAGAACTTATGATACTATAAATGACAAGGAAGAACCAATGCGTAGTAAAAGGGCTAGAATATCCACTTCGTTTGGCCCGATTTTTCTAACCTATATGGTAGAAAATGAACCAAAAACTTTTGATGAAGCATTGTCTACACCGGACTCGAAAACCTATATATTCTTTGATGCAGAACCATACTTGAGAGTTAGTTGATTTACTTCCTGGGAACAAGCCTTTAGAATGTAAATGGATTTTCGAAAGGAAACTTAAATCTGATGGATCCATTGACAAATATAAGCCTAGATTGATTGTTAAGGGATATAGACAAAAAAAAAAAAGGACTTGACATCTTTGATTCCTATTCACCCGTTACTAAAATCACATCGATAAGTTTGTTAATTGCTATTGCAGTATTACATAACCTTGAAATTCATCAAATGAATGTAAAAATGACATTACTAAATGGTGAGTTGGAAGATGAGATACACATGGAGCAACCTAAATGGTTCGTCTCTCTTAATCACAAACAAAATGTTTGTAAACTAGTTAAATCCGTTTGTGGATTGAAAGAAGCCTCTAAACAATGGTATCAAAAGTTTGACAAAACAATGTTGTATAACGGGTTTAAGTTCAACGAGTGTGACAAGTGTGTATACATTAAACATACACCAAAGGCCTACATGATTGTATGTCTATATGTAGACGACATGTTAATAATGACCAATAGTCACGAAATAATGATAAACACCAAGAAAATGTTAACAAAACATTTTGATATGAAAGACTTGAGTATGGCTGATATTATATTAAGGATTAATATCTCTAGAACATTTAAAGAAATTATACTTTCCTAATCTCACTACATTGAGAGTATACTTAAAAGATATAATGTAGTTGAGGAAAGTCGTGTGAAAACCCCTATTGACACAAGTTTACACTTAGTCAAGAATACGAGTGAATGTGTGTCACAACTAAAACATTCACAGATTATAGGCAGTCTTGCGTATATTACAAACTGCACTTGAACGGACATATCATTTGCTGTCAATAAATTTAGTAAATTCACAAGTAATCTAAGACATGATCATTGGAAGGCTTTAACAAAGGTTTTTAGGTACTTGAAGTATACGTTAACTTATGGATTATACTTCACAAAATATTCCTCGGTATTAGAAGAAGCAAACGTGTATAGCTCAATCAACGATGAAATCAGAGTTTATTGCTTTCGACAAAGCTTGGGAAGAAGCAGAATGACTTCGTAACTTCTTGGAAGAGATTCCATTTTGGCCTAAACCGGTACCTTTTATTAGTATACATTGTGATAGTCAATTGGCTATTAGAACAGCTCAAAGCAGCATGTATAATGGTAGGTCTAGAAAATAAAAGATTGTGTAGTTGAAAATAAAACAGAAAAAAATTATAAAGTGAAATAATGGCCGGGGCGTAGTATGATGAGGTTTTCGTATTCAACATATAATTATCCAGAAATGTCCGCTACCTAGTTGCACAATTCCTATTCCCTTCCAATTCTGATGGTCCAAATTGGGATCTTTGACCTGTCCCATTTGATTGACTATTCAAAGTGTAAAAACTTAGATATAAATTCCAGATTAGGCTATGACTATATTTTATTGGAATATGGTTTACTCTCAATCAAGACATTCAATGCAAGTAGAGGTGCAAACTTGGATCACCTCGTGGCTCGGATCGAGCCCCATTTTGGGGCACTCGCTTGAACCTGAGCTAACCCAAGTCTGCCGTGTCACATGCCATTTTTAGTCCGTAATGAGAAGGTTCAGAAAAAGCTGGTTTACTAGGGTCAGTTTCCATTCTTGTAACAAATATGGTATGTTCTCTTGCTGCCGAAGAAATACCCCTATTAGGGAAAGATGACCTCTCGAGGCTTGCTTCCCGAATATTGGTGTACTTTACTCAACCTTTTTTTGAAAAGCTAGTTGTTTTGTCACTTTTTGTCCTTGCAGCCTGTTCTTATTCCGTTGATCTCTTGGCGACATCATCAACTATTTCTTTATCATAAGAAAGAGAGGAAGTTAATGAACCCTTCATCGCTGGAGCTTGCCTCTGTTTGCCAAAAAAAAAAAAACTCACTTGTATGGTTGTCGTTTCACACGATGTTGACTTCTTCTTTCGTAACTTCACGAATTGTTGCACTTCCGGAGTCGCGGGCCCACGAACTTCTTTCTCCGTTTCTGGCTCAACCCTAGTATCTGTAAGTGAGACAAGCCTGTCTAAGGACCAATTTGCAATCATTATCATGATATTATTAAGCTAAGTTGTTCATTGGGGATAGTTTCAAGAACTCAAGGATTGATTGCTGCTGCTACCCTAGATTCCCCTCGGCGGGAGAAGTCCCCAAAGTCAGGTGTAGAAAGTCTTCCTATTAAGCTAAGGCTGGATTCTATTTTTCTTCCGACGATCTTCGTTGCTGATTTCTCCATCCTAGAAAGGGAAGTTTCTCTTTCATCATCAGCAAGATATTGAAATCTCCTGGAATATTGACATCAATTACTGCAAAGGCAATCACAAGTGAAGTAGAGAAAAAAGATTTGCATGCAAGCATATGAATGAATTTGATTCTATTTGATACTTACCAGGTATCCCAGAGTCTGGTTTCGTACCCGTCTCCATCTCCATTGCAGCAGATTCATTGATTCCAACCTAAGCTGGAATCTCTTCTGCTATCTTCTCTCTTTCTGTCCTACCGGGAACCTCTACCTCGATGCCATCAAGGACCTCTTTCAGAACGTACACATGCTCTTCAGTTACATCAGTTGCTTGAGCACTCAAGATTCGATTGGTGCTTCGTCCACAACAGGTTGCTCATAAAGGATTGGCCCCCTATCCACTTCCATGGCAGTAACCGTCTCATCCACTACATCCTCAAGAGTTAATTGAGCTGCATCCGATGCCTCAGCTTCTACAACCGGGACTTTCACATCTCCGGTAAATGCGATCTCATTCCTTTATGCAAGAAAACAAAAATATCCAATATGTAGCTAAGGTTATGGAGAAAGCAATCAAGTTCTCAGTCTGAAGAAACTATAAGAATCAAGTTTTAAGTCAAGGTCAGAAACCAGAGATAAGCTCACACATGGCTGAGGTCAATGCACGGTAAGCTATGTTCTTGAGCATAAAGCATGCATATATGACAAAAAAGTAGGAATTTTCATATGGGATGAGATGCTAACCTTAGCGCAGAAGATCAATCATTGAGCCTCAAGCCACTACCGAGCGGAGTATCATAACAATTGAGAGATGATCCCTACTTGAAAAGGTGGAGAAAATACAATATAATCAGAAATGTCGAGAAAAGTTCAATAAAGACTAGTATGCTATTTAGACTAATTTGATGGGGGGTTTTTGAGAAGTCTAAAAATATTTTCGAAACTAAAAAGCTGTTTTTGAATGCCTTGATAAAATTTGAAGTACTTTGTCACGCTAGAAATTAGTTTCACAAGAAAACTCTTCTACAAGAAGCAGAAGTAACAGAAAAATCCTACAAAATGAGCCTTAGTTTGCTAGAGACCATGATGACAACGCCATGAGTAAGCACATGTTTGGGTTTCTTAAAAGTGCCTAGAAGTATCAAGGTCCACAAGTTTTTGTCGCTAAAAAAGAGAAATTGTTAATCCCACAATAATTATAGCACTTATTTTATCTATTTTTTAGAAAGCAACTTTTAAGCCTCACCAAACAAGCACTAAATCAAGATTGCAAAAATTACACATTTCCATGTCCAAATTAAGACTCATGCAGTCACCATGAAAAGTCATTAGTGATGAAGGTGGTCATTCTTACAAAGCATATCAAGGATAAAACGTTAAAACTGACCTTGTGCAGTTGAAACATAGATCTAGATGGCAGTCTCTTGCGAAGAGACCACGCCATACTCGACTATAGGGGGCCATGACCCACCCAAGTTTGTCCAATGACTGGCCATAGCCTTGTTTTATAATAAATCAAAATAAATAAAAGGGAACTGATAATTGCGGAAGTCATGCAAAATCTTGACTAAAGGATGGACTAATTGAAGAATCCTAAGGAACAAGAGATGCAACTCAAACAGAAACTATTGGATGCAATACAAGTCAAGGCTGAGGTGAATCCACCTGCTCCAGAAAAATCCTAATGCCAATTTTAATACGGTGTCTCCATTTTCAAAGTCAATGGACTGGTTGTAACGTGTAGTGTACCAAGAAAGACCTTGTATTTTTAAGCAACATATTTTGAAATTTAGACAACATCTATAAATTCAGAGAATAAATTTTTTAAAATATTTCAAGAGTTTCTTTATCTTTGGCATTTATTTTACTACTCCTAATATGCATTTTTTGTTTTTCCCTATCTTTTATTTTAATCAAATTTCCTTCAAATTATTATATTACTTCTCTATATTTTCTTTGTATATACTATTTAATTGTGTTAATATCTGGAGCATCGAGAATTGGAATATTTTAAATGCATTTAATTATATAGTGGATTTGACTCTCCAAATTTAGAGAGTCAAACTCACTCTTTATTTTAAAATGTTAATTTGAAAAGTTTCTTAAATCATAATTTTAAGGATTGACTCTTTAAAATAGAGATCGTTTTATTATAAAAAAGTTTCTTGAAACTGCTCTAATGATTTTTCTTTCCCCATTTTAAAATAGAGATAATTTCCCCAGTTTCTTGACTCTTTAAAATAGAGATCATTTTATTATAAAAAAGTTTCTTGAAACTGCTCTAATGATTTTAAAAAGTTTCATTTGGTACGACTAATAAGGTAAATCACCGTCCCAACCATATTTGGTACGATTAATAATGATGATGATGATGATGATGATGATACTTGTAATTAAGCATGGCTAGGGATAATATTTATGTAGGAGTGGAGTCATTATCACATTTTTTTAATAAAATTGAAATGAATTTTAATTTATTAAAAAATGTGAAAGTAACCCATTGCGACTATCGTCCATCAAACGTATTTACAAGTAACAATATTATATATTTAGTTGAATTTGAATTTGAAAGTGTGGGACCAGTACCCCTCTCCTTACCCAAATAAAGAAAGGAGAAAATCATTTGTACAGAAAATATTTCTACAGAATTCTGCCAGAAACTCACATGGGGGTGGGCCCCATATGTATAAATGATTGGAAAAAAAACCACCACCCACCTTGCTGTCTGTATTTTGGCCGGTTTCTGAGGAATTATTTTCTGTACACACAGCACACTTCATAAAGAAAACGTAACCTAAAAGTAATAATTTGTATTAAGTTTTAAATTTTTCCTACTATAAATGGGCATAGCCAAGTCCTGTACATTCTTATATTATGTTTGTGTATCTTTGGCCAAGTTTCTAATTGATTATAAGATAGTTACACTCCATTTTATCTACAAATTTCATAACTTTTACTTTATTATCCCAACAATTTATAGGATCAACTGTTGTATTTTTCTGCTACATAACTAACTTTAAAAGTTCTCAATCAAAATAAAACAAATGATCATAGCTTTTTCACGAATTATACTTGTCGTGGGTTGTTAACGATTACTCAAGGTTAAGGGTTTAAGGATGGATCATGACTTTTCCACTATTTATCTAATCACTTATCACAAGTCTTTGTGTTGTTTTCAACTGCCTCAACAATAATTTCTTTCTTGTTTTGTACATCTTTTTTATTAAAAATGAAAAAAGGTTGCCGTGATACTATTTGTCATATTTTTATTTAAAATTCAACAATTTATTTAATCAGGACAAATCGCGACTTTGGCAAATATTTTTGATTCTAGTAATATTGACACTATACTTAAAAAATTAATATTCATAATTTGTGACGATTGTTTTAACGTGATATTAGACTTAAAATAACGTCCATAATAAATATTTTATGAGACCCTCAAAGAAAAAAAAGTTAGTGGCATTTGCACCTTAATCGTTCTTAAATTGCACTGGTGTTTTCTTTGTTTGTGTATAGATGATATATATGGCGTTGCTGATTTTAAAATTTTTTAGTGATCTTCTGCACAACTTCATGAGCCACCCTCGAGTATCAAACCTATCATCTCAAAGTAGGTATACCCATAGGTTTTTAGAGCTTGTTTGGGAGATATCTTTCGAAGTAAAATTGAAGAGACTACGCCATACTCGACTATAGGGGGCCATGACCCACCCAAGTTTGTCCAATGATTGGCCATAGCCTTGTTTTATAATAAATCAAAATAAATAAAAGGGAACTGATAATTGCGGAAGTCATGCAAAATCTTGACTAAAGGATGGACTAATTGAAGGAACCTAACAAGAGAGATGTTACTCAAACAGAAACTATTGGATGCAATTCAAATCAAGGCAGAGAATCCACCTGCTCCAGAAAAATCCTAATATTTTGCAATTTAGACAAAATTGTGGTTCAGCTTAGTTACTTGATTTAGTAAGATTGGAATGAGTTGGGCAGTCGATTTTAAATGGTGTCTCCATTTTACCTACTATATATGGGCATAGTCAAATCGTGTACACCAAGTTTATAAAATACTCAAACTCCATTTTATCCACAAATTATATAACTTTTACATATTTATTATCCACACATTTATAGGGCCAATTATTTTATTTTTCTGCTACATAACTTTGAAAGTTCTCAATCAAAATAAAACAAATGATCATAGCTTTTTCACGAATTATTAGTGTGTGTGATGCATATTAAAATGAGAGAATACATTTTTTTGAAGTGATGTGATGGGAAATATGTGGTTGAAAAAGAAAGAAAAGTTATTGATGTAATGAAAAATATTATTTTATTGAAGAATGTGTGGTTGAAAATGAGTAGAAGAATGAGAATGAAAAAAATAATGTGGCTCAAACAGGACTTGTCATGGTTGGTTAATGATTATTATTTCAGGTTAAGGGTTCAAGGATCGATCATGCCTTTTCAACTATTTATCTAATCACTAGTCTCTGTGTTGTTTTCAACTGCCTCAACTATAATTTCTTTCTTGGTTTGTACATTTTTTTATTATTATAAGTACAAAAAGGTTGCCGTGATACTTTTTGTCATATTTTAATTAGAATTTCAACAATTTATTTAATCAGTACAAATTGCAACTTTGGTCTTGCAAATATTTTTTATTCTAGTAATATTGACACTATACCTAGAGTCACCTCAATTCTTCACAAATTAATATTCATAATTTGTGATGATTGTTTTAACATGATATTAGAGTTAAAATAACGTCCATAATAAATATTTTATGAGACCCTCAAAGAAAAAAAAAGTTAGTGACATTTGCACCTTAATCGTTCTTAAATTGCACTGGAGCTATGTTTTCTTTGTTTGTGTATAGATGATATATATGGTGTTGCTGATTTTAAAATTTTTTAGTGATCTTCTGCACAACTTCATGAGCCACCCTCGAGTATCAAACCTATCATCTCAAAGTAGGTAGACCTATAGGTTTTTAGAGATTGTTTGGGAGATATCTTTCGAAGTAAAATTGAT